CATTTTAGATGGGTTCGAAAAAAAATGAAAACCGTAGTAACAAGAGAGGAAGTGAAATCCAGCTCATTTTCGTAGGGAAATTTAAGACAATCACTCTCTCTAATTAAAATTTCAATTCGATAATGGGCAGGATTTCGAATTCATAACGAAGCGAAAATACATTGGATAACGAAGGTTCCGTTTTTCTGGAAAATAGCCTGGTTCTCGAATTGAATACTAACCTATCGAACATTCGTTATCGAAGGCGAGACTCGAAAAACAGATTGGTTTTCCAATCATTTTCGAATTGTTAAGCAAGTCCAATGTTTATTGAGTTCTAATAAATTTTGGAACCAAGTATATCTTTAAAATTTCACAGTTGTCTTAAAAAATCCTGACGCCAGAGGGAAAAACTAAAAACGCAGTTCTACAATACTTCGCTCCTAGTTTTGTGAGTTGTTTTATGTAATGTTGACTTTTGCTCGGTGTAATCAACGTAAACGGTTCATTTGAATTTGAATTGGTATAGCCCACTGACTTAATAAAATATTTGCCATACATAAAAACGATATTTATAATATACTGAAATTATTACACTTTATTATATAAGTACTTTTTACAAAACACTTTCGAGCCACAATTTCAAGACTGGAATGTTGGAGTAAATAGCTGGGTTGTCTTTGTTGGCACAACCATAACCCCAGGATACAACACCAAGCAACTTATTGTCAGCCACCAAAGGACTTCCAGGCAATTCACCACAAGCGTCGTTCGCAGCCCGACCGCAGAACTGTGAATTGTAAAGATCACCGTCTTCGTATTTGTAGCCTTGAGTAACGCATTTCTTGGCGCTGGTGATAGTTTCAGTTGCTTCTACCACTGCGTTGTTTGCATCCCAACCGACGAGTACACCACTTGAAGGTAAGCTGCTTCCCAATGCAAGGTAGCTGCTAACACTTACGGCTTCGGCCAACTTCACGATACCGATGTCATTCTCATTGGTTTCAATATCGTATTGTTTATAGTAGTTAGATCTAGAGATTTTAACGGTCTGGGCACCATTGTTGACACCAACGACAAATTGGCTAACATCGTAGTTAGCCAAACAGGAGGCGGCAGTGACAACGACTTTGGAATTGATTAAAGCACCGCCACAGACGATGGTTCCATCGGCTAGCTGTAAGCTTACGAGGTACGGGTGAGCGCTAATAGAGGAAGCTGTACCACCTACAATTCCATCGGCTTGGGCGCCTGTAGCCGCGATCAACAGCAATAAACTGCAAACGAATTTGTTGGCCATTTTGGTAGTTGTCGTAAGAAATGCTCAGTGCGCCCTTATATGCTGTTTTTTTTTTCACCCATGAACGTCACAGACTGAATATGTCCGTTGTAGTTAACATCAGAATAAACAGCCACGAAGCAAAAAGTTTACCAAGTATTTGGATAATTGTATTATATGAGTCAAGAGGAAACTTTTCTTGTTATTTGAACAACTGTTTGTGCATATTTGAATAGATCGTGTGATGCCCCGTCTTGAAACAAATATGTAAATATTTACTTTATATGATATATAAACATTATGGCCGCGCGTCTTTAGACATCCCAAACAATCCCATTTTACAACCAGAATAAACAGAATGCGTTTGAAATTTACGTTAATATATCATCAGAAACGTTCTAAATAACAGAGCTGTGAAACTGAGAAATCATTTAAAATTTTAATCATGAAATATTTACAAGTAGGATTTCATTCTGTTTTCCTTTTGGCTGGTAGTGTGGCTTATATTTTTTTCAATCTACAATCGTTAAAAAAATGGAATTAACACTGCAAGGTGGTAAATACCTGAATGAAAAACTGAGAGTGCTCAAGTAAACAGAATTCAATAATGAATTAGCTTCCTGATGAATGACTAAGAAAAATATGCACAGAAGAGTTATAACTTCTCCACGCATGAAACACAGCTTAATTCACATGAACATATTGTACAAATTTATAGTTTTGGTTGTTTAAAAACTGTGTGCAAAATGTTCCAAGACAATTAGTATCTATAATTTTTTTCTTTAACAGATTCGAAAATATGCAGAACATGAAATATGTAATCATGCATAACAACCATCGAATGATAGCAGCTTTATCATTCAGTCCATGGTTTATCCCCATACATATAATGTCCTTTTTTGAAATACATATGTGCCCATTTTTGCGCGGCCACCCTTTATGATCAGTTTTTATTTGTAAAAAACGATATTCTCATTTTCCAATACCAGGCGCTCATACATGTGAAGTTACAACTTTTCGCACAAAATATTTTGTATAAATTTTTAAATTTCCAAAATTCAACTTTTTGAATTTCAAAGGCTCCTAGAAACGAATTAAAAAGTTCTACAACCAAATTTATGCGTATTGAAAACTTGCTACTTCATATTTATGAGCGCCTGGTATTGTGAAATTAAATCTATCGCTTCGTAAAAATAAACAAGTAAGAAAGTCTAAGTTCGGGCGGAGCCGAACATTAAATACCCGGCGCAAGTATTAAATATATGTTTTCCACCTTTTCGAAAGCTACCGCTACATGCTAAGCCGGGGTGTATAAATTTTAAGTAAATTAGCGTCCTTAAATTTCGAAATATTGAAATTTCAAGCATTTCTGAAATTGACCGTTATATGAAAAGCGGCCGTAATTTTAGTCCCATTTCAACAATTTTCACGAGTTTGCCTTTGTGTGGCAAGCACAATAACCATACCGAGTTTGGTACAAATTGCTATAAAGGTTAGCGAGATACATATATGTGATCATAAGTGGGCGGTGCCACGCCCATTTTCCAAAATTTTATCATAAACGTACTTCTTGTTAAATAATTGTTGCAAGCATCAATTTTGAATACACTAGCTTCAATATTTACCGATTTATCGATGATTTCGTATTTCTCTAAATTACCGTTATATGGGATGTGCGCGTGGTTATTGTCCGATTTTTAAAATTTTCGGTCATTTCGTAGGCGATGTCAAAGCCAACAACTGTGCAAAGTTTGGAAGAAATTGGTGCAGCGGTTACGAAGATATACACATGTAACTATAAGTGGGCGTGGCTACGCCCATTTTCCAAAAATTTTTAATTTTCTTATTTTTCGTCTAAAAGTTATTCTAAATGTCAATTTTGAGTCAATTATCTTTAGTAGTTACTAAAATATCGCAGTTTTCGTATTTCTGAAAATTACCGTTATATGGGAGGTAGGCGTGGTTATTGTCCGATTTTGCCCATTTTCAATACCATCCGTCCTACGCCCAAAAGAAGTGCATGTACCAAGGTTCGTTAAGATATCTCAATTTTTACTCGAGTTATCGTGTGCACAGACGGACAGACGGACAGACGGACGGACGGACGGACGGACGGACGGACGGACGGACGGACGGACGGACGGACGGACAGACAGTCACCGCTTAATCGATTTCTCTTTTCATTCTGATCATTTATGTATACATTTGTCTATATCTATCTCGATTCGTTTTGCCTGTTACAAACAACCGTTATGTGAACAAAGTTATAATACCCTTGTGCACAAGTGCGCTCGGGTATAAAAATCAAATTTATAAAATTGACCGCGAGAGTTTCTTCATGGCTTTAAAATATCATGAACTGAGTAATGAAAGCTGCTACGAAACTTTTGTTCGTAGTAAATGCTTTACCAAATTTTCTTAATTTTTTTTGATATCCGAAAATACGAATATTAACCGGTTCTTCGTAAATCCGAAAATCCGAATAATTGTACAAACGAATATTAACCGGATATCCACACTATCCGGTTTTTATCCGTGTCAACGGATAATCCACGTGGATATCCGGATATTCGAATATGCGGATAGTCCCAGCCCTAGTATATACCTATGCACATATTAAGGTAAACAAAAGTAAACAAAGACTCGTATAAAGAAATCACACAGGTGCGGATGTAATAGCAAAATGACAAATGAAGATTTCTTTCATTTTCTTTTCTTTTGCCAGTATTTCAAGTAAAGTTACAAACATACATATGTATGTGCATATATACGCTGAATGCACGCATACGTATTAGATAAACTTCGCTTTAATAAATTCACCTTTGGCTCTCCGTTAAGTGCGTTAGCTGATCCAATTCCACTGTTTGTAGGCCAAAATAGTGACCGTGATTTTATAGCTCTCATTTGACCTATTTTCTCTTTATGCAATTGCAAATGAATATGTGAAGATGAGGCGCATATGAACATATATGTATGTACGTCTTTATGTATGTATGTCTTAGATAAGAGCGGGTCGTTCCCCAAGTGAGAGGAAATGGTTTGTTTTATTGGGGACATATGTACTTAAATTCTCTATACCCTAATGGAGATTCTGCGCTCTAATATAGCTACGCTTAGAAACTAGACAGATAGTAGAAGACTCGGAATAACTGAAGTAATTCTCTTTATGGTGAATCTGATAGGAAAACACGTGGTCGCCGCTTTGGCGCGGCGTTTTTCGGACAGAAGTTCTTGCTATAAAAGAGGTTGCTTAATACGCATGCCATAACGAAGACTACAATTAATATATTCTCGTTTAGCCAGTGGTAATGCTAATATCCAAGGTTGCACAGGAATGCTTGGCAGCTCTAAATGATATTAGAACCCTCTTCAAGGTTAGTCTCATAAGGGTTCCCGGACATAGAGGTATTAAAGGAAAAGATGAGCTAAACAGGAAAGGTACAAATCTGCCACTATGTGAAAACAAAGGTAAGATTGGCATACCCATGGCATTAGGTATTAGAAATGACATTATTGAAGAGGTCAATAGGTCATGGTTAGACGGGGGCACTTGTACAACAACTAGGTTATTATGGCCGCAAATTTAAAAATAAAAAAACTGAATATCTGCTCAGCCTCTTAAGGCATGAGGGAATATTTGGA